TATATTTTTTAATGTTTATAAACCTAATTTTCTATAATTTTGTCAAAGTTTTAGTTCATTTTACGAATTGTTTCCAAATATTTTCTATTTTTTAACAACTTTGTTTTTATATGCTTCTAAGAAGTTAGTTTTTTTAATATTATTTTATTTTCAACTTACTTTTACAATCTAGTTTACAATTTGATTTTTTAGAATCTCCTAATCTAATAATAAGTACATTTTTGCCACATGGCATTCTCTTAGCACCCCCAATCGATTTTTCCTGCTCTTATCATCTAACTGAATTTCCAATATTACCCATATGGTCAAGTCAACTCTGTGCACAAAACCTGATTATTCGGTACTCATTGGTTTATTCCACAAATTACTCATTGTTTCGTTTAATTTTGCCTTCTTGATTTTGGAAACCAAGTACTAATTCAAATTTGAAATCCTCAAATCTCACAGGCAATTCTAAAATCAACGATTTTTTGAGGAAATTAGGGTTCTAAAACAAATCATCTCCAAATCAGATGGATCCATTGAAAATTAGTTAAATCGATCGGAGGCTGTGTGAAGGTCGGAGCACTCACAGATATAAACACACATAAGACGAAAGAGGTTTTGATCAAATTCGTGATTAAGGTGAATTTACCCGCTCTTGATTTTTTTGTTTCTTTTGTTTTAGATTAAATCGTAATATAAGATTAAGGGGTGGAGCTATTTCAGATCGGAGAACTTCAGGATGTACCGAGAATTAACTGGAAAAAAGCAGGTATTTTTTCATCCGATTACACAAAAGTTGACTCATTCAACTTCTTATTTCATCCATTTAGATACATTCTGATTAAATCTCTTCCTTATACTCGATTTTTTTTACTTTTTATTTGTTGGATTCCAGTTTTGCAGATATAAATAGAGAAAGAACCATTACACCCAATTGATTGGTGTGCAGTGAGTACCAAAACCCTAAGTTCAAGCATTACACATCTGACTGGTATGTATGTTATGTAATTGCTGACACAATCATACAAGGATTAAACTTCCTACTTTTAGATTGCTAAATTTGATTCCTTTTCTAGGTTCAAGTCATGGAGAAGCATATGAAAAGTTGAATAAGATACTAAAAAAACTACATGTCTCCTCTACTACATCCGTTATTCAACAATATTACTTTTTTAGTCATATTGGATACCAGAACATGTTCTAAACAAGATGGTATCAAACGAATCTTACTTATTTACTTTTATCTTTCAGTTAATTTATTGATTTTGATTTTTATTGTTTATATTTATACTTTAGCTAGGTTTCTAACCGGATCTTTTGCAATGGACATGATGAGATTGGATATGTTTTTTATTTATGTTAATAATGCAGCTTCTAGAAATATGATTTTTAGTTGAATCTTATATTTTGCTTGATATTTAGTAAGTTATAGTTTTTTGTTGCTAAATTGAGTATCATGGCTTTGCTTCTTGTGGAATCTCATGACTTTAATTTCCAACATTTTTTTGTCTGTTTTGGTTACACAACTTTCAAAGAATATGAAGAAAAAACAATATTGATGGGTTTTTATACACCCTATAGTTGTTAAAACTGTAATTAATTAATGGTGGAACTGAAGCAAGATGGGTAAAGTCTACTATTTTAGTCCAAAGTCTATTATCTTCATTTTAATCTCAATTTTCCTGGTCTCTTTACCATTGAACATAAACATGGACCATCTGCCATTGTGAGGTATGCATTAGTCGACCTCTTTTTGCCAATTCATTTGTATCGTCAGATTTGTAGCAAAATAAATTTGTTTTTTTTATCGGTGCATTCTACTCCTTTAAAGCATTTATTGTAGGTGGGTTGATAAAGGGTTATGTGATCTTGACTTTTGTAATCTTGAAGAATTTAAGTTTAAAAATATTATAGTTTCATCACGGAAGGACCAAAGAGATTAGTATCAAATGAATTTAATTATCCTGGATGTCCTGTCGGAGAGATTCTATATTTCATTTGTTCTATATACATCATTATAGGTTGAGTTGTCCCATATTTGCAGGAGTTCTTGATTATGCTACAGCTAATTAACAACATACCAATCATTTTTAAAGATTGTCAATCTAGGTATTACAATGTTTTTATTATATAATTAATTTAATGATTTTAAAGAATTCAATGTTGTTTTATTATGACTACAACTTTTAAGAGCTCAAAAACATTATGGTTAAAATCGTGGATTGTCAATAACGAAGGCAATCATTTTCTGCATTTAAAGGGTTATTGTTGTCATGTTTTGCATATGTAGGTTTGTTTATGTTATTTTGCATTTAAAGGGTAATTTTTGTAAGTTATTAAATTAAAAAAAAATTCTTTATTATTCTCTATTAAAAGGGTAATTTCTATAAGTTCATGTATTTAAAGGGTAATTTTTTGTAATTTTTTGCATTTAATCGGCAATTTCTGTTATTTTCTTACATTAAAAGGGTAATTTTTGTAATTTTCAGTATCTAAGGTCTAATTTTAGTCATTTTATGTTTTTTTGGGGTATTTCTGCATTTGAAAGGTTAAGGTTATTACTGTTATTTCTCATTTAAAGGGTAATTTTTATAAATTTCTACTTTTAAATGAATTTTTTAGTAATTTCTGCATTAAAAGGATAACTTCTATAAGTTTACCTTTTGATCATTCATTGAGAAATTCTCTTGAGCACCAGGTCAAATTAGTGTAATACAATTTGTACTTTTGAATGTTAGTCTTTATGATAGTCAATTTTTAGGACTGATGTCTGAACAAATCGGACGATGAACAACTTCAGTGGAACAACTATTTGTTGGAAGTTTTTATTGATAACAAGCTTGATCTATACATGCTTTCTGTTATTTAAACATGTATCCTTTTTAATGATGTTTTCTCACTCAAATTAATGGATTTGATAAGGAATGCAAATCATTGTTTTTTTTTCTCAATTTATTATGAATTTTATCGAAATGAAACTAATCGTCACCCTTTGCACTACACGCAAGTTTCCCATTATTTTATTAATGACTATTTTTGTTATTTCGAAAAATAGTTTTTTTAATATTTTTAATACCTATTTATTCTTAATTTTAATTTTGGACAGATCCTATTTAAGTTGTCATTGCATTGCATAAGTTTTCCTAACTTTTTTCCCCGCCTAAATTTACAAAGTGAAGTACGATTTTTCCCTTCTCATGCTTTTAAACTCTCGATGCATGAAATCCGGTATGACTTACCCTTTTGTAGCTTGATTTTTGGTGTCCTTTAGAATCAACAATTAAATCATAATAAATCTCCAAATTTGAATCATTCATATGTAACTCTTCATGTGTAACTCTAAACACATCTTACGTAGTTCCTTCCTTCTGGGTTCAAAGTGTGATACTTATTTAAAGATTGTACAGAGATAAATATGAAAATAGTTGTTAATGTATATAAAAATTCTTTAATAAAAGAATTGAAGAAGTTTAATCCATGATTCACCCTTTATCTTTTTTGGCATTCATATGGACCTAAATGTCAAAACTTTGTGGTTTAAATTTGCTTACATGTATTTATATTTTTGTGGAGGTGATTAGCATAAAAGTCTAAACAAAAATTACGTTTATTATTTTAATAAAATTTTATAAATTACTCCCTCCATTACAAACTAATTGTCCACTTTTGATTTTTGAAGTCCTTTTTCTTCTATATTGACCTTAAAATTTTTTATTTGTGTTGTATATTACTTGATGTAACTTATAAAAATGAAAAAGACATTTAAAATACAATTCATTCATACATTTTACATCAAACATTATCTATAAAAAAACAAAAATATTTAAGATCAAAATTAAAAAATAAAGAATTCAAAAGTCAAATGTAAACAATAAATTTGAGACGAAGGTAGTAATAATTTTTTTGTTAATCTCTGAATAGTTGTTAACATTTGAAATTATCAAATAATGTTTTTCTTTTTCAACCATGGTTTCCACAGGTTTTAAACTTAGTTCAATTATATAAAAAAAAAATATTACATATTTGTATCTATGCATGTTTTTGAAGAGTTTCCCATTTTTACAAATTATTTTATAAATTTGTTCTCTCGTAGTTTATATTGTTTAGATTATGTTTTTCAAACAAATATATTGTATCTGGTACAACGAAGACACACAAATCATAGTTGGTACAATATAAAAATTTTAAAACATAATAAAATTAACGGTTCAAGTAACAAAAATAAACAAAATAACCTAACTAAAAAAAGAGAAATCAAATATTATCCTAAATATTTTTTTTTATCCTCCTATCCATATTAAATTGTGACAAATAGATTAAAATATTATAATTTCATTAATTATATCATTAAATTTATGATAAGAAGATAAATTATAATAAAATATAAAAACATATTTAATTTCTCTTAAAAAAATTATGTATTATAAAAGGAAGAAAGAAAACAATAATCATTCATAATTGACTTACTATTTAACACAATCATGATGCAATGACATGCATAAATAATTATTTAGAATCTAATTTTTCCCAAAACTATAAAGCAACAATTTTTTTTTTCTTTTTTTATGTTAGTCTTGTTTAATGAATGACTTTGATAGGTAGATATCAAATGAGTTTTTAAAAATATTTAAAAGATATATTTTTTATTTTCATTTACCAACTAATACCTATTTTAACATCTTGAACGAACTCAATCACACAAAATTTAATTTAACGTTGATGGTTTGGTGTGGTTCAATTTAATACCTAAATTGATAACCACCACGAACGATTAGTGAGAATTTCTTGAACATGAACGGAATCAAACATGTATCAATTGAGATAAGGAGAATTAGGTTTTATAATCTTATGATAGCTCTTTGCATAAATGATAAAGATTGAAGAAAAACCCAAAATTAATGCAAGAACATGAAGAATATAGAGATATATAGATGAAAGATGAGTGATTTCTTTTCAAATTAAGGAAATCTTTTTTGTTTCCCAATTGATTTATGATCACTACCCACAACAAATTCTCAACTCGATATTGATTCAATCTCACCGAATCGTGATCCCATCATCATCATTACCTTGAATTCATCGAAGCTGATCTTCTCGTCCCCATCTTGGTCGACGCCGGCAATCATCTTCCGGCACTCTCCGATGGTACACTCCTCCCCCAAACTACCCAAAACGTTCTGCAACTCATCCGCCGTGATCGCCCCGTTTTTATCAATATCAAAAACCGAAAACGCGTTTTTCAGATTCTCCAACAACTCCGAGGAATCGATCCCCTTCGTGTTCAACTCGATGAACTCTCCCAAATCAATAAACCCATCGCCGTCGGCGTCCACCTCCACGATCATTCGATCCAATTCCTCATCCGACGGCCGGTGACCAAGGCTTCCCATGATCGACCCCAGCTCCGACGACGAGATCTTCCCGTCGCCATTAACATCGAATTTCTTGAACACATGCTCTAATTCCTCCTGGATCCGCAAACGAGAGTCAAACGAATTGACAGGAGATACCACAGGCGTTGTTTTTGTGGGATTTGTTTCTTCAACGATGGACTTATCTTTACCGTTGTTCTTCTTCCGATTGAATAGATTCGTCAAACCCATGAGCGGCGTTCACGGAAGAAGGGTAGATGGATCGATAGTCGGGGATGAGCAGGATGATCGATCGATTGATGATGGAAGAGAGATTCGAGAGAAAAAAAAATCGATGAATCAATCGATCCCTCTCCTCTTCTCTTTTGAAACAATCATGATTCTTGTATATCTATACAATTCACGTGAGTTTTGTGTGTGTAAAAATCGATGGGTGTGGATCGTTTCACATCCGTACGACCCGGAAATCGGAAACAAACTCTCATTATACATGTATGATTGTATGGTATCTAATATAAATTCACTTATTATCAATAATTTATTAGATAATAATAATAGTGTCATGATGCATACACTTCCTATCCTATAAATAAATATTTTATTTTGTCCTAGTCTTTAATTATACTTAATATATATTTTTTTTATTAATATGTTTATAGTGTTTCCTAGTGCCCAAAAGCTATTGGCACCCATTGTATTGAATTTGGAGGTTGATACTTGATATGCTATTGTTGGAATATTTTTTTTATTTGCTTTTGACTTTTTATATGTTTGTGGATGCTACATGCTTATGTGTTAAAATATTGTTTTCATTATGCTAATTGTGGTGTTAGGGTTAGGGTTTTCGGTTGGTGGTTTATTTACTTGTTAGACATCAAGGTCTAAGAAGTGGCGAATCTATATAGAGCCAAGGGGATGCACTCACCTCACTTGGTGGACTACACCAACATATAAAGCACCAAATAATTATGGTAAATAGTTAATAGTTAATAACTTATATTATAGATCTCATTTAAGAGAAGAAGAAGGTTCACCATCATTAAAATAGGACCCCATTTTTTGTTAATGTTTTGGATCCGCCACTCATTAGCGTTATGGATCCGAGATCTACTGGTTCTAAGTACTATTTAGTTTGGGTTGTTTTCATATAGCATATGCATGTTAGATAGCATGATCAATAATAATGGAGATTATGATTCTTTGATCGTGTTGCTTTTGTTTAGATGGAAATTTTTGTTAAAAGTTATGATTTTTGTATTGGTTTTTTAATATGGTAATTGGTGAACATTAACTATGTTTTGACCTAAGATCTATGGAAATGTTATTAAAAAAATAGTTTTACGAATAGGCATAAAAATTATATGAATCCAATATATTGTACCGTGTCCGGTTAAAGAAGACCGATTTCATATTTTATGAGTCTATCTTTGCAAATAATATATTTGTAAAAAGGTAATTATTCAACGAGCTCATATCATTTCTTGAGTATAATGTAAGATATAAATCACACATACAACAACCCACAAAATGAATTATCAAGTCTCGAGCATTATGAATCGTGGCGAATAATATCGTTGGTAAGACATGAGTTAATACGGCAATTTAGTATATGATTAATAATTCTAGGTATATTATCCATTATTATTCATTTTCAAATACATATATGAGTTAAAAGGCGAGGTGTGACATCAAGTACAACTTTTGGAGCTATGATGGACTTTTTAAAACTATAATCATGTATAAAGAGTCCACTCCCCTAATATAGTTGACTATGCATATTGTGTAACATTTTGTATATATCTCATATCTATCTTATTATTTAACTTTCATATTTATCTATTATCTCTTCCTTGGTATATGAAAGTTTGTTGTACTCGGATTATATATAGCGTTGGTTAACGAATAATATATCTTTGATCACTAAATTTATATATGGTGTCATGGCAGGTCGAATAAACCTAGGTAAAATCACGTTCACTAGTATGGAAACATCTAGATGTGGATCAACCAACAAAGATGATGTTGAACACCACGATTCCAATTCACAATATTACATCCATCCATCTGATTATCCAAGACAGATGCATGTAATATGGTGAATTTGAATCGTGGTGTTCAACATCATCTTTATTGGTTGATCCACCTCTAGATGTTTCCATACTAGTGAACATGATTTTACCTAGGTTTATTCGACCTTCCATGATATCATATATGAATTTAGTGATCAAAGATATATTATTCATTAATCAAAGCTATACATAATCTGAGTATAACAAGCTTTCGTATACCAAGGAAGAGATAATAGATAAATATGAAGGTTAAATAATAAGATAGATATAAGATATATACAAAATGTTACACAATATGCATAGTCAATTGTATTAGGGGAGTGGACTCTTTATACATGATTACAGTTTTAAAAAGTTCATCATTACTCCAAAGTTTGTACTTGATGTCACACCTTAAGAAAAGTCACCTTAAGTCATATATGTATATGAAAATGAATAATAATGGAATATATACCTAGAATTATTAATTATATACTAAATTGCCATATTAACTCATGCCTTACCAACGATATGATTCGCCATGATTCATAATGCTTGAGACTTGATAATTCATTTAGCGGGTTGTTGTATGTGTGATTTATATCTTACATTATACTCAAGAAATGGTATGAGCTCATTGAATAATTACCTTTTTGCAAATATATTATTTGCAAAGAAAGACTCATAAATTATGAAAACGGTCTTGTTTAACTAGACACGGAATAATATTTTTATTTTGGAACACGCAACGTGGCTTCACAAGTGTTATAATGTCACACCCCCAAACCAAGGATGACAGAAACGTCTAGGGGTGGAGGACTTCATGTATAGTATCAGAACAACAAGTATAATAATGCTCGAAGTAAATACAACAATTATAAATATAATCGAGAAAGTTACATGGTTTTATAAGAGTAAATGTTTCAAAATCGATTACAATATAATGACAAAATATTTTGACTAACGCCGAAGCGTTCCATCCTCAAAAGCTGGTAGTTACCTATTTTTATTGATTACCTGAGAATGCAAGTAAATTTTGAAAGAGTGTCAACGATTACGTCGGTGAGTGCGTAAGCTTTTGTATATAGAGTAGAAATCTTTTCTTTGTAAATGTAAGGTATGCACAAGAAAATTCCAATATTTTCCTCATAAAATGAGTTGCAGTCTTATGACCCAAAGACCCAAAATGTTCAAGTATTTTACCATACTTATAATAGTGTATGCAGTTTTATAAAAATAAAACCCCTCTGAATATAGAGATCCCCGTAAACTATGTGTATTGTTATCTCCCTATATAAGTTATTATAACCATACTAATTGACATAGTAGCCTGTGACGACGTTCTTCAGTCATCAGAATGTTATGACATTTGTCACCCAGACCCGCTGGTATAACTGTTGCATGTAGCTAAGGTGTGGGTTGTCAATCCCAATATAGATCTATATACAAGTATCACGCTCTCCTTACAAGAGACTCTGGTTTTAACTAAAGGATTTTAACCAGTACTCTAAGAGTATAATGAAGTAGTGCCTTACAACCGGATTTAACGAGTTTACATGTACTGTAATTGAAAAACGTTTTTGTAGTAGGAGTATAACCCTCCTTAGTAAGATCATAAAGTTGATGTAACAAAAACTATACCTATTATAGCTTTATCATGAATGTACGTATTAATGAAACAAACCGTTTGTAGTGAGAATTGAACATTTTCATAATGAATAGTAATATAGCAAATCTTAAACTATACTTATTATAATTCATCATGTATGTTTGTAATGACCAAGAATCCTTGTAATGAAAGAGTATTTCAGTTATTTAAGTGTAACTTAGCAAAAAACAAAAGTAAATATGTAGTCATCATAGATAAACACTTTGCTCAACACATTACAAAGTGTTAATAACTTGTAAACTATTTTTATCTAGCATTATTTTATGTCACTATTTTTGTAAAAATCACAGAAAAATCATCGTGGGTCGAAATCTAAATCCGTAAACTAAGGAAGTTCAAAACATTTGTTTAGTATCCTCACAATTTTTATTATGATTTTTAATGATTTCTAACTAGTTTTAAAATGACCATTTTCACTGACAGATCCGAAATCTTTGCTACAGTGATAGACAGTTTTGTAAAATTCACCATAAATTGTAGAAAAATCGTATGAACATGTGAAAGTAGTCATTTTAAAGGTATAAACCTGAACTATTTTCATATTGAACAGTTTTGACATTTATAGAGTTTAAGATGGTCAAAATAGTTCGTGATTGAGTAATAACATTTATGTTAAAAGCTGTCATTTGAATTTAAGCATGTTTTGATGTTGTAACTTGTATTCTCCCCCATAAAACTAGATGAAAACGTGAAAAGAAGGTTTGTAACCTTTGTTATTATGCAAGTTTTATACCTTTAAAATGACTACTTGTTAGTGTTTAGTCTATTAATGCAAGGTTTAGTCTCTTAAGAGAGGTTTTTGTGAGAGATTTGGGATAGAGAGAGATAGAGCGAGATAGATTGAGAGAGACTTTGATTGTGACCTTTGTTAGTGTTTAGTCTCTTAATGCAAGGTTTGTAAACCCCGTTATGCCTTAACATAGGTGTCTTACACCCCCGAAGGGTACTTAATAGTGCTTTATAGAGTCATTACCTCACTCACCTTGGTTAGGGTTTAAAATTTCTGAACATTTGAAACTTCTGAATGATACTTTGTATTATGATAGAGGGTTGTACATAAGAAGACATAGAATATATCCTATCATACAAGCAGTAAATGAGTTTATCGATTTGACTTGTTGACTTGTTGACTTTTGACTTAACTAGAATTTGATAGTTTTCACATATAATGGATTCATATAATTTTGGAACATGCATGTATCTAACCCTGAGAGACTTCAGGTATTGTTGTTTCATCTGTGTGACTCATGTGAGTTATTTCACAGTATTGCTTATGAAATAGTTTCAATGACATGATTGTATGCTTATCTAGACTTGTAGGGTATTTATTATCGGCTTGTATGCTATGTTGGTTGAAATAGACTTGTTGATTGAAACATACCTATCGATTGAAACAGACCCTTCGGTTAAAATAGATTTTTCAATTAAAATAGATATGTTGGTTAAAATAGTTTTGTTGGGTTGAAATACACCCGTTTATATTATGTATAATTATATGTGTTGTATGTGGTACA